TGTGTTGCTGGAGTCTGTTGGCTAGTATTTTGTTGAGAATTTTTGCATCTATGTTCATGAGGGATATTGGTCTATAGTTTTCTTTCTTAGTGGCATCCCAAGACCCATCTTATATACCATTAACTCTTCCTTCCATTTAAGACAGTCTATTTTATCCTGTAATCTACCTGAACTTCTCACCACCTGGATCTCTGGTTCTCTGTATTTACAGCCTTTCACATTGTAATTGTTTTGATCATACACTGACCTCCCAGATCCTCTGTTCTTATAATTTTATTCTATTCTTAACTCTTCCATTTGTTGTTTGAGTTAAGGGTGATGCTGCCGTGTACGTCATTCTCTGGTTGTTGTCTGTTCTTGTTGGTTCCAGAACTTCCTTTAGCATGTTTTTCATAGCAGGTTGGCTTTGGAAAAATCCCTTAGTTCCTGTTTATCCTAGAATGTTTTGATTACACTATCATATTTGATTGACAGCTTTGCTGGGTAGAGCATTCTTGGATGGCAATTGTTTTCTTTCAGGGTTTTATATATGTCTTTCCATTGCCTTCTTGCCTGCATGGTTTCTGTTGAGGAATCCAAGCTTAATCTGATTTGCTTGCCTTTGTATGCTACACTTCTCTTTTCCCTAGCTGCTTTCAGGATTCTGTCCTTATCTTTGATTTGGAGAGCTTGACTATTACATGTCTTGGTGGATTGTCTTTTAGGATATATCCTTCCTGGGGTTCGTTGAGCTTCTTGAATGCTTATCTTTTCATTTTTCAGGATGTTAGGGACATTTTCTTACAGTAGCTCTTCAACTATCATCTCTGTGGTCTTGTGTGATTCTTCCTGTTCCGGAATGCTGATAATTCTTAAGTTATTCCTCTTCATGTTGTCCAACATGAATCTTAGGTCTTGTTCTGATTTTTTTTTATCCTTTTTGTGCTTGCTTTTCTAAGTATTATTGAGAGATTTATCTTCTAGCTCACTAGTTCTAGCTTCTATCTCTTCAGTTCTACTCCTTTGCCCTTTCAGTGTATTGTCCATTTCTGATATTCTATTATTAATTATTTAGACCTCTTTCTGTAGGTTTTGAATTGTTTTCAATGCTATATCTATCTTATTTGATTGTTCCTGTGGCACTTTCCTGACTTCTTCCTTATTTTTCTCAACTCCATTGTATAATGTTTTTATACATTTTATAATTATTTATCTGAATTCCTTCTCAGGCATTTCCAAAGTCTGCCCATCTTCCAGTATGGAGTGTAGGTTCACTTCCAGCTCAGTTGCCTCATTCACTTTATCTCATTTCTGGGCAAGTGCTGATATGGTCATCTGTTTCTGGTTTTTTTTTTTTTGTTTGTTTTTTTTTTGCATATTCAGGAGTTATCTGTGGCCTAATATTTAGATGGGTGTGTATTTTCTTATTTTTATGCTTTCTGATTGCCTCCAGGTAGATGTGATCAAGAGATGGGCTTCCCTTTTCACTCTTCTTCCTGAGAAATTTCAAGATGCCACAACTGGTCATTGTGATGTAACTCAGGATTTAATTTTTGGCCTATTTCCTTTTTAGTCTGCCTGTCCCACTCCACAATCCCTCTTCAGGCCTTTTTCCTAGTGTGAAACAGTTCAGAACCAGCTGTGGCCATTTTGCACTGCCATTTGGTTTTAAGTGGAAATTGTCACTTTAAATTTCGAGGAGATATGTGCACATGCATAGTAGAACACTTTGGGGGTGGGGTAGGGTATCCACTCGCTCAGGCACGCCCTTTAGTCACCAGAATTGTGGTGCACAGATAGCGAGGGACCAATGAACAGATACAAAAAGAAGAGTGTCCACACCTTTATCTCTGCAGTTCTGTCAGGTGTCAGTGGCTGCTCTGATCCGTCCCCCACTTGGTCTCACCAAAGATAGTGGTTCTGGGAGCAGCTGAGCATTTTGAATTAGAAAGCAATGGATTTCTTGCTTCTACTACAAATTCCCATAGTTGTAAGCCTTCCAAGCTTCTAAATATTCCTTTATATGTGGTTCAGAGTTCTGGCACCATCCTCTGAGCCTGCTTGGTCCAGTATTCTGTGTTGTTGCTGACAGAGCTACTCACTTCACTTCTACCTGGTCAGCCATCTTGTTTGTTTTCTACCTGTGAGCTTTTGTCTTTTTAACAAGGTATTGTTTTTGTTGTTGTTTTGTTTTTCTCTCATTTGAGATTGCAGTTGACCCTTGAGCAATTTGAGGGTTGGGACACTGGCTCTGTAGATGGAAAATTAGAGTAGAACTTGACTTTTCAACAACTTAACTACTGATGTTGTTGTTATGTGCTGTGGAGTCGGTTCCAACTCATAGAGACCCTGTACAGGGTTTCCGAGGCTATAAATCTTTACGGGAGCAGAAAGCCTCATCTTTCTCCCATGGAACAGCTGGTAGTTTCAAACTGCTGACCCTGAGGTTAGCAGCCCGATTCATAACCACTATGCTACCAGAGCTACTAATAGTTGACTGAAAACATAAATAATCAACACATATTTTGTATGCGGAATCGACGGCACTTATCAACAACAAAGTATTATATACTTCACCCACACATGCAAAATGTAAGGGTTTCGTATCTGGTGGCATAGGTACAACCAAGTTGCCCTTACTTTTTTTACAATGATCCTTAAGCTGGATTAATTTACATTGAAATGGTAGGCATCTGCAGTTACAGACCTCAAGCTATGGTTCATATCAAGCAATTCAACTGTTAATTATGTCATGATTTGTTATTGCTTCTTGGGGGGCACATCCAGCATAGCTAGTGGCACTAAGTATGGGTCTTCATGGTTTACCATCTTGTACTAGTGATCTTCATGGTTTACCATCTTGTACTACGTATGATGAAAGGTACCTGAGAACTGAGAAAGATCACTTTTATACACAGTAGAGAAGCACTCACTGTTCACAACACAGCTCACAAGAAGATGATGAACATTACACCCCATATGGCAACGTCTTAAAAAAGATCCACCTATAAATGAACCCTCACTGTTCAAACCTGTGAACAAGGTCACAACACAAGTCAAGTCAGAAGGAGGACAGAGAATATGCTGAAGGTTGGTTTGGTCATTTAAGACCATTAAAAATGGCTGACCTCTAAGAATACATACAAATATATAAAATGTATGTGAAAAACACAAATTTGACTTTTAAAAGTACTTTTAAGAAAGGAAGCAGGGCCTTGGAAGTTTTTGTCCTTGTTTTCCCCCTGTTGCAAATTCATGTAGGGTTAAGTACATGTGATCTGTAAGTGGTGTTATTCCAGGTGAGTGGGCAGGACTCTCTCATTTAGATTCTGAACAGGAAGTGGAGGGTTAAGAAGTTTAAAGTTTTAACATTTTTGCTGTCTAGTTATTTTCATCCATCTTCCGCTTAGGGTGTCAACATCCTCATTCTCTTCAGCTGCCCGTTTGTCCATAGGAGCCTCAGCTTCTCATCTTCATTTCCATCCTCTTCCTCATCATCACCTTCATCCTTCTTCTCATCTTCCTCTCCACCTTCTTTCTCTTGTTTGTCTGCCTCAGTGCCAGCCTCCTGATCCATGTTTTCTTCTTTAGCGCTCCCATTAGGGGGTGCGTCTTTCCCATTCTTTGTGTCCCCTGCAGAGCTGGTGTCCATGCCACCAGGTGGAGCACACCGATGATGTGATGCAGCAGGCAGAAAAAGAAATTGCCAGCTTGGTGACTCTGGAGAGAAAGCTGGTAGGACCCCAGCCCAGAAGTAGGCATGAGATGGAGGAGGCTGCAGCGAGCAGGAAGACTAATCCAGAGCAATGCAAAGATTACGTTTCAGAGCAGCCAGTTCAAGGGAAATCCTTAACTGATTTCTGTACATTTTTGCCCACAAGTGGATGTCATTGATTACTCAATTTACCACCTGCTGGAAGGTAGTCTCTCATGGGACCCCATGTGTATCATAGTAGAACAGTGCCCCCATAACATTTCATTAGCTAAATTTTTTGAACTCTGAGGGGCTTCAAGGAGTTCATGGGAAAAATGAAAAATTCCCAAGAACTTTTTGAAGTCCCCTGTAGATCACCAGGCTTTTCTTTTGAGGTGCTGCTCATTGAACTTGAACCTCCCACCCTTTGGTTATCCCTTTGCATGACCCAGGGAATCTTACGTAAGTATGGTAGACTTACATAAGTATAGCAGACTTAGAATCGCAATCCTATTTGTCACTCTGCATGTAGGAAGTTGTTGTTGTTAAGTGCCATCAAGTTGTTTCTGACTCACAGCTGGTGGGTTTGAACCACCAACTTTGCCATTCGCAGTCTAGTGCTTACCCTACAGCACCACACCAGGACTCTGAATGAAGGAAGACAAACCTGTTGTTCTTTATAGGTGTGGGTTTTTATTTTAGACCTTGACATTGACCACAGAATTAATAAGCTTTGCATCTGGGCCTGTCCCTGGCAGGTGCGTGGTTGCTGTATGTGATTAGGGGACTTGCTTTTCTAAGTTCTCCATCACCATCATCTCCAGTGATCATTTATGTAGGGTCCTTGGTACAAGGTTCTAGACAGAAGAGGATTGGAGGTCCCACTCACTAACTGCCCGCCTGGTTCTTCTGTACACAGGTGAGATATTCCTGCACATCATCCGGGGACCCCAGGATGAGGGGAACTCGCTGGTGAATGGTTTCAGGCTTCACATCCAGAACAGGCTGGGTACCCGTGGTCGCCAAGCCTCCTGCCTGCTCAATGATGTAGGATACAGGATTACATTCATACAGGAGCCGGAGCTGTGGAGAGAGAAACAGGGCCGTGTGAACAAGCTTGACCCTAAGTCCCGAGCCATGCCCCTGAAACTTGAGGAGGAATTCATGCTGCTGAACTTCCATTTACCTCATTAGTATGAGTAAACTTATAGACCTCTCGTGAGTGGACTGAGTAAACTTATGGACCTCTTGTGAGTGGACCACTTGAGCCCAAGACACTGGACACAAATGGGTGATGCTCATCACACATACACTTAGGGTCCCCTGTGGTCAGGCTGAAACTTGGATACACCTGTCTTGTGCCCTTCATGCTCCTGAGAAACCTGCTTCTTTACTTGGAAATAGAAGAGCTGTGTACCCAGCTATGAAGTAAACTGATTCTGCATGTCTGGTTTTGAAAAAAGAGAAAACAAAACCAGTTTCCATCAATTGACTCTGGCTCATGCTGACCCCCTAAGAGTCAGAATACAATGTGTTCCCCTAAGGTTTATTATTATTATTATTAGTGTGAACTGGGTGATAGTTTACATGGGAGAACATTGGCTTTACACCATCGTTTCATTGCAATGATTACAATCACTTCAGTGCATCATCATTCAACAATATTTGCTTCCATTCCGTCTGTTGCTGTTTTTTCTTTTCTTTTTTGGGGGGTGGGTGGGTAGGGGTGTTTACACAAAAACACTCAGGAATATATAATTATTTAAACAACCAAAGGACACATTCTGCAAGCCTGCCTCCTAGCCCCCAGCACTCTGTCCCTCTCTTTCCATGAATCTAGAGTCCTCAGCTGATCCCTCTCTCCATGTCCCCATCTCTACCTCCATCTCTGGTGTTGCTGCTTCTTTGGATAAGGTCCCTCTTTCCACTAGTACTCTTCCCCCTTGATGGTCCTAGGGTCCTCTGTTTCTGGACTGTAAGCCTAACTACTCCCTTGTTTTTGTTACAAAACTTCTACCTTTACAGTTGTGATAGTCACAACTAATCATGATAATAATTACTCACTATTGAGAATCGGATCCCCATTGCTTTCACCAGGTCTGTCTAGACAAGATGAAAACTATTCAGTGGAGTCTCTGTCTTAAACACTCTTAAACTGAACTCCCTCTTGAAAACTTATAAGCCAGTCACTTCATACCTTTATTGCCTTCTCATTTTAGGTAGCCAGTGTCTAAGTTGCCCATCCCTATCTACTCTGTGCATAGAGGGGATAGCATTGATACTTGATGTAAAGACTCCTTGCCTCTCAGTCGGTATTTTGAGCTACTACATCCATAAGTATAGATCAAGTTCATCAAATTGTAGCAATTTACACTCGTTTCCTTTCTCAAAAATTATTTATCTTCTTCTAGTCGAGTTCTGATTATCAAACCATTGAGGCTAGGTCAAATGGGTACTATCTACAAGTTTGGGCATTCATATCAGCTGGATGCTTCACTCTCAGCTATAGCCCTCTGTGGCTATGTCCTTGTCTATGGGCTCAGGAATCCCCAGGTCTTTGGACCACCACACTTTGGACCAACCAGCCCTTCCTCTTCTCTCTCTCATCTCCAGGTCAACGGGAGTCTATGGAACATGGTCTATGGAACTCAGCCCATTTCTTCATTATGACTTTCCCCCTCTTCCACTCCCCAGTAGACCAACATGGTCACCAGCAAGCATACATGCCTGCTTATGTGTTCCTTTTGAGTTTCAGTCTCGGAGGGATGTTTGTCTCCCCTAAGGTTTTGTGTTGTTGGTTTTTTTTTTTTTTTTCAGAAAAAAATTTTCATGTTCTAGAGAATTTTAAACAGGAACAGATTGACAAGGAGCTGGCCTTTCAGCTTGTTTCACCCAAGTTAGGGAGGACAAGTCTACATTTCCACCACTGAGCACAATACAAATGTTCTTTACATCTGGGGACACAGTTTGAAAATGCTGAAACAGCACAGCAGCCACTCTGACACCAGATGTAGGTTCAATGAGTAGTTTCATCCTCTCCCACACCAGCTGGATTGCATACTTAATTTCATCCGCTGTGACAGTGAAGACATCATCCACAAGATCTCTTATAATAGGCCAGGTATTTAAGCCAATGCTGGATTTGATACCATCTGCTATGGTTTCTGGAGGATAAGGGTTGGAGGTCAGTTCCCCTTTCAATTTGGACTGGTAGCAGTCATCTGTATTCAGGGGTTCAGCAACCTATAATTTGACATTAGGTCTTAAAGCTTTAACTGTAATTGCTATTCCAGCAACAATTCCTCCTCCCTCTACAGGTACCACTACTACATCCACCAAGGGAACCTGGTTCAGCACTTCCAGGGCAATGGTCTCTTGCCCAGATATCACTGCAGGTTCCTGGTTGGGATGTATCATGATGCCTTCTGTTTCTTCCATAATTCTTTTTGTAACATTTTCTCTGGACTCATCACTCGGTTCACTGTATACTATAGAGGCTCCATAGGCCTGTATTGCCAATTTTGTGCCATTGGGAGCTGTGTGGGGCACCACATATAAGCAGGAATTCCTTCCAATTTGGCAGCATAGGTGAGAGGCTGGCCATGGTTTCCACTGCTCTGAGTAACAGCAGCGTTGGGCTTCTTCCCATCTGAAGTGGCAGGAATCAAGCCTCTGATTGAAATAAGGCCATCACGAATCTTAAAAGATCCAGTTTTCTGGAAGATTTCGCATTTGAAGAAAAGATTGCGCCCTGCTAGTTGATTCAAAATGGAGCTTGTTAGGACTGGTATAATGTGGATAAAATCTTGAATGTTTGTATGAGCCTTCTCAACATCAGCAAAGGAGATGCAGTATTGAGCACACATGATCATGATTCTCACAGGGGCCACACCTCGAACTTCAGTCTCCACTCACCTTCCCCTGACTGCTTCCCCTAAGGTTTTAATGACTGGGTTTTCAGAAGTAAATCAGTAGACCTTTCTTTTGAGACTTTTCTGGGTGGACTCAAACCACCAACCTTTTAGCAGTCAAGCTCATAACACTTTACAACAACATTCAGGAGCTTGTATAGGTCTGGTAAGAAGCCTTGGTATGTGAGGCCTTACAGCAAATAAGGTGTGGTGCTGTATGATAAGCACTGGATTGCTAACTACAAGGTCGGTGGTTCAAACCTACCAGCCACTCCTTGGAAACCCTATACAGAGTCACTATGAGTAGGAACTAACTCAACAGCACTTAACAACAACAACAGCAGGAGCAAGTAAGGATTCACATCTGCAAGGAGTCACAAGACCACCTTGTGAATACTAAGCAGTATCCTTGGGGATAACCACAGTGGCTGGTATTGCACAGAGGAACTCTGTATAACAAGTTTCGACTTGGCTACATAGGTTTGCTGGTGTTTGAATAGCCAAACCCATTGCTGTCAAGTTACTTCCAACTCAGCAACTCAGTGACCTTATTGTATAGAATAAAACTGTTTCCTTAGAGTTTCCAAGGATAGAAATCTCTATAGACGCAAACTCACATCTTTCATCCCCAGAGCGGCCGGTGGGCACAAACCACAAAGATCCCATCTCTGTTAAGTGATGTGCCCCAAGGGCTCCTTCCCTTGTTCTTTTGTTGCTAGGTGCCATTGGGTTGGTTTGGACTCACAGCAAACCCTACGCACAACAGAATGAACTCTGCCTGGTCCTGCACCATTCTCACGATTGTTGTTACACTTGAGTCCATTGCTGCTGCCACTATGCCAATCTATCACATTGGGGGTTTTCCTCTTTTTTGCTGACCCTCTACTTTACCAAGCATGATGTCCTTTTCCCAGAACTGGTCCCTCCTGACAACATGTCCAAAGTACGAGAGACAAAGTCTCACCATCCTTGCTTCTTGACAGATTTGTTTGTTCTTCTGGAAGTCCATGGTAATTTCAATATTCGTCAACACTATAATTTAAATGCAACGATTCTTCAATGGTCTTCCTTATTTATTTTTTGAAGTCTTATATATTAATTTATTACAGGAATAGTTTTTGGGCAAGACACTTAACGTCTTAAAGCCTCATTTTCTCAGTAGTAAATGGACCACCATCACCACTGCTTTAGCATTATTGTGAACATCAAAATCAGCAAATCTACATAAAATGTCTGGCTCAGAGCAAGCATTCATTCATTTTCCCTTTTCTTCAGCCTTCTTTCTCTCCTTCCTTCTTCCATGTTTTCTCTTTCTGCCATCCAGTCTATACGACACTCTGACTCCAAAGGTGATCCAAATATTCTCAGAAGAGAACACCCAGGAAAAACAAGCTTGACCACTATGCCATCATCAAGTTCTCCGATGACTGAGTCAGCCATGAAGAAGGTCAAAGGCCAACAAGCACCAGAAAAAACAGGTTCTAAAGAAGTTCTATGACATTGGCATGACCATGGTCAACACCTTGATCAGCCCTTGCTGACTGGTGAGCTTGAACCACACAGACCTTGTGGTTTAAAGCAACTTTGCAGTTCAGTGCATGTTGTTAATGAGTCTTCCTCTAATCCCAATGCCATGCTCTTCATATAATCCAGCTTCTCAGATTATTTGCTCAGCATACAGATTGAATAAGTATGGTGAAAGAATACAACCCTAGAGCACACCTTTCCTGATTTTAAGCCATTTAGTATCCCTTTTGTTCTGCTCTAATGACTGTCTCTTGGTCTATGTACAGGTTACTTATGAGCAATGAAGTGTTACCCTTAAAGCAGTTCTGAGGCTGTGAATCTGTACAGGAGCAGAAGTTCTCATCTTTCTCCCAAAGAGCAGTTGGTGGATTCAAACTGCTAACCTCATGGTTGGCAGTCCAACATGTAATCTACTATGCTACCAGGCAGGACTCCTTAAACTAACCTAACCCAGATCCACTGCTGTCCACTCCTCCAGCATCCTCTACTCCCCTTCCTAACAGCCAGCACACAGAGGCTTGTTTAGCATCTGACTTCCTCCCCAGTCTACCAGTTCCTGCAGGCAGGGACTATGTGGGTCTCGATTGACTGTTGCACTTTTTATTATTATTATTATTATTATTATTATTATTATTATTATTGCTGGTAGTGCCTGGGACTAAAAAGGCATACAACAATGTGTCTCTTGCATAAGGGCTCCCAGCTGAGGACAGAAACGGGTTGCACTCAACCTGCACCCTACTTGCTAAGTTATGGACAAGCACTCTGAGCCAAGCCTGCTCAGAGGAAGGAATACATTTTCTAACCCATCCAAGGTGCCATGAGAGCTAGCAGGAGTCCTGAGTTTAATAATTAAGTGGTAAGTTGGATTGAATTGGAGCGAAGAACTTCTGGCTCTACTTCTGTGACTATCTTGTTTTTTTCCTCCAGCCCCTGTCCCAACATATACATACACACATTGGGCTAGACTCAGGATCACATTCTAGCTGGCTGTTCTGCTATGCCTCTGGTTGAATCATCTTCTTCCTTCCTTTCCCCTTTGGTGAAAAATTTGTAATTAAAAAAAAATCTTTCTCCAATGATCACCTAATATCATGAGTTGAATAGCATCTTTCCTCCCATCCCTCAAATACATGTTAACTTGACTGGGCCGTCATTCTCAATGGTTTGGCAATTATGTAATGATGTATTATGGTAGTTATGTGATGGTTCCCTCATAATGTGATAAACTGAATCAGAGGATGAAGGGTGAGATGTAAAACCCTTAACCTGTCACAGCCCTGATACAATGTAAGAGAGGTTTCTCTGGGATGTGGCTAGCAGAAAGAAGTTAGCAGAGCTGGGAAGGACCTACTGCTACCAAGAAAGAAAAGCTGGAAGTGGAATGTGTCCTTTGGATCTGGGATCTCTGCACTGAGAAACTTCTAGACTCATGAAAAGATTAAATAGAGCTCCCCAAGGAATGCCAGGCTTACAGATGCTGAAAGGAGACAAGGACCTTTGCTTAGAGCTGAGAAAGACAGAAAACCTTCCCCTAGAACCAGCACTCTGAATTTGGACTTCTAGTCTCTAAAACTGTGAGAGAATAAATTTCTGTTTGTTAGAGTCATCTCCTTGTGTTATTTCTGTTACGGCTGCAGTAGATCACAAAGACACCTGCAAAATGGTAGAGCCAGTTCTGTGAGCCTTGTTCTTCCATTCTTTTTGTCAAACTCAGTTTGAAGATATTTTTAAAGCTACTTTGAGAAACGATAATATCTTGTACTGATTATTATAATGATGATATCAAAGAGTAAGTTCAGGAAAGAGTAAGTTAAGACTCCAGGGATGTTTGCAGCTCAGTTCTGCCATTTTGGTAGGATACTAAAAGATGTTCTCACCCTTGACCTATGGCTCTTAGAATAGTGGATAGCCAGGGTGGACACAGAGAAGTGTAGGGCATGTGAGCACACTTGAGCACTGCTTGAGTCTTTGTTCATCTAAAGGAGGGCACTGGTAGCCATGTTGTCTTGGGCAGCCCAGCAGGATGAGAGAGACCCTTACTTTGACAGTTTACTGGTAAATCGGTAAGAAAGAAGGAAGACTACCTACTCATGTGTGTCAGACTAGAACTGTACTCCAAAGTGTTTTCAATGGTTCTTTAGAAGTAGATTGCTAGGCCTTTCTAGCAATGTGCCTCTGGATGGACTTGAACCTCCAACATTTTGGTTAGCAATCTAGTGTTTTAGTCACTTGAACCACACACAGATTTGATGGCATCCAGTAGTGAATTGCCTTTTCCTTCCTTTTTTTCTTTGCTTTCAGGGATTGAGGAGATTAAGGTTTGAGGTGTCAAACAATAAAATTTAAATTAATGCCAATTTGACTTTGTTTTTAACCACAGAGAATCAGGGGCTTTAAAAACAAGAACAAAAGTCATCTCTTAGAGAAATCTTACAAAACTTCTCAGGACTCTCATTCCTTTTGGTCTGACTACAGATACCTGTGCTGTTATAAACTCATCTTAAAACCAAAAACATTCAAGTCTTCCTGGGGTCTTGGCCTGAAAGCCACATGATCTGTTTTTCTGCAATTAGAATTGACACTGCCCCACAGAGACAAGTATACACCAGAGGACAAGAGTATAAACAAGTGCTCACATGCACACACACACAGACACTGGTAAAGTCACAGAGACCATGAGAGCTAAAACATGGAAAAACGAAACTAATGGCACTTTCGATGCAAGAGGTTTTAGTGAGAGCAATATAGATTTATACATGGAATGATCCATGCTTATGGGAAATATGTATAGGTTAACGTGTTCTCACTCTACGATCATTTACGTAGTTGGTCTTAGTGTTCTCCCCACTGAAACAGGATAGGTGGCAAAGGGTCTATTGAAGAATTTTTACCTCTTCAACTTGTTATCACTTACTATTCGGCAATACTTTGCTTCCTGTTAGCATCTCTTAGGTAGTCTTCCCTGTGATACTTAGTTCAACAGCTTAATATATAAACGAGCCAAACATAACCTGACAACACACAGCAACAACAAATGGCACACAACAATAACACTCATTCATATGAAGAGAAATATCTAATACATTAGCCTGGGTACTAAAATCTCTCTGGTCTTATGTCCATGTTAGATTTCTTATTGTGGCTTGAAATCTCCAAGAATTCCAATAGCCATTGTCACACTGAGAGACAGACAGATTCACATGTGGCAGAGAAAGTAATAGAACTTTTTTTATTTGGCTCCTGATCTATCATTTCTGTCATTAGCTAAAACAAAACAAAACAAAACAAAAAAACAGACGTTTCCATGGGAAATTCTATTCAACATAGATGGGCATGGATCATAAGCTTCTCACTGGTAGAACTCAAATTTGCTCTTGAGTTGAGCGCAACTCAATAATTGTTTGTACTATCCAAGGACTTCTCCCATTTGATAATACAAATCTATTTGGTTTGGTGTCATCAAATTGCTGAAAGATCTTTCAGGAACTTTCCAGAAACAGAATGTGTTTAGAGCAGATGTTCTTATTCTGGAGTTGGTGGACTCCTTAAAACCAACTCTGAACCCCTGAAAACATATGTCAAGTGTGTATGTTTACATGCATTTTGTGTGTATATGGAAAGCAGACCCATGAGTTTCATTAGATTCTTAAAATGATCCAAAACAAGTTGGTGTTACAGCTAAAAATCAGACCCAGCAAGTGGGAGTTAATCCAGATGATTCATGCTGACTGATGGGAGTGAGGATAGAGGAAGTGAAGGCAAATGAGAACCATCAATAACAATGTCATCAACCTTGGCTTCCCCAAATCCCCAAATTTTTCATGAATGAAAAATATGTCTAGTTTCCCTTCCCCAGTGCACTCAGACAGACATACCATGGAGCAGGGCAGAGGCCAATGGCAGGTGTGATGTAAAAAGGAACGCCAAATGGCTTACTGGTTTACCATCCAGTCCATGGATAGAGGGAAATTACCTTGCCCTTAGGATTCTTCTGGTTGGCTGGGTACATAAAGATCCCTCCATAGACCAGTGTGCGGTGTACATCAGCCACCATGGAGCCCACATACCGGGCTCCATAGGGAGCGCTGCCATCCTAGAACACAGAAAGGAACAAGACAAGGCCCAGTGAGAATGACAATCCAATCTGAGTCAAAATCCAGTTGATGAAGCCTCCACCCACTAGCTTAGGAATGAAAACATTATATAATTGAACAACTCATTCATTCAAAATCCCCAAACACACGATGATTAAATGAATTAAACATAGGATGTCTTAAAGTAAGAGACAATATCCTTGTGGTAATATTAAGAGAACAGCTAACCAAAAATAAAATTAAAGTATGAGGAGGGTAAATAAAAAAGTATTGCTACAAAATCATAGAATCACATATTTTAAAATAAATAAACAACCAAATATGAAGCTTTTGTTTCTCGACATACTCTCCATCTGGGTCTGTACATTTCTGAAGGTGGTGTCTCCATCCTCTAACCCTTCCCCAGAGAAATCTGTGCTCTGACTTACAGCAAAAAAGTTTGAGCATCCTTGAGGGACTCAAATTGTATTTCTTTTAAATGTTCTTTGAGTTTGGGGAACCAGTAAAAGCACGAAAGGGCAAGATCAGGAATGCAGGATGGATGCGGTAAGATTTCCCAATGAAATTCTTGTAAAACACCACTTGCTACCCTCAAAGATGGAAAAAAGAAATTCCTCAGCACAACTTTCCTGACCAAAGCAATTTTCTTAAAACTTCTTCATAATAAGACTTGGTGATTATCCTATGTCCTTTGAGAAAGTTTATCAAGATTATCCTTTTGGAATCCCCCCCAAGCAGTCACTATAACCTTCTGAACTGACCTCTCTGTTTTGAATGTAACTGGCCCAACAGCTCCCCTCAGAAGCCACTGTTTTGATTGGGTCTGTATTTTGAAGGCACCCTAACAAGACTAAGATAAGTGTACTACTGAGAGAACTTGTAGGCAGCTGGCCACTGATCACAGAAACATGTTTAAAAATGTTTTGTTTGGAATACATTCATGTATTTTTGAGCTGGAACCCTACTGTTGTAGTTTTTTACTTGCTCTCATAGATACAAACAATTGTTTGGTATCCCCTTGGAGCTCTTTCCTGGATTCATAGTACTTTTTAGCTTTATGAGAAGCAAACCTTCTTGAACAACTGTAAACTTTTGTACTTTCTACAAGCAGTATCATTCAAAGAAATAGGACAACTTATTTGTCACCCTTGATTCCATTAGTCATGTGATGAAAGCATTTGTTCTGAGAATAATCAGTTAAGGGTTATGGTTTCTCTCAAAGTAGGTCATAGCAGGTAAGACACAAGGATATGCTTAATTGCTCCTTTACACAGGTTTGTTTTTCCCCCAGTCAGCAAGTCATCTGTGATTTCTTTGTCTAATCTCATAAGTCTCTCATAGTGCAAGTAGACAGTGTTTTGTCTCCAGCAAAGTGTGGAATTAACTCAGTATGGAATAAATGATAAGTAACGACAAGTTTTGGAGTCCTGGTGTGGTGCTGCGGGCTAATGCATCAGACTGCAAAGTTGTTTGAACTGCAAGGTCGGTGGTTCAAGCTCACCAACTGCTCCTTGGAAACCCTATACAGGACCACAATGAGTCAGAATCAACTCAACGACATTTAATAACAACAATGACAAGTTTAAGAGTAAGTACTTGGTTAGGCAAAAAGAATTTTTTTCTCTCTTAAATGTTTTATTGTGAATTATGTGATAGTTTACATGGGAGAACATTAGTTTTACATTCATTCTATCGTATATCGTCTCATTGCCGTGGTTACAATCCCCTCCATGCATCATTAACTAACCAAATGGTATACCCTGCAATCCTTCCCCTGTACCCTCCAGGTCTTCAGCACACAGTGAAAGAATTTTATAGTCTAAAGAGTTAAACTTAAACTACAGTGACTCATGAGTCAATGCCAATTAGGTCAACCATTACAAATTGGTGACCTCTGAGGAGTGTTTTGTTTAGAAATGATCTGTTGTTTTTTAATTAGTTACCAACGTTTTAAAAATTTGACAACTTTTCATAAACATCCACATTTAAAAGAGTGGACAATCTGAGTCTGGGTATGCACAGAAGGGACTCTCCATTAGAATGCAGCCAAATTCTCGAGGCTGCCCTGATAGTGCTGTGGATTAGATGTTGGGTTGCTAATTGCAAGGTCAGTGGCTCAAACCCACCAATCATTCCAGGGGAGAAAGATAAGGCTATCTGCTCCAGTAAAGATGTGCAGTCTCAGAAACACTTTCTAATGTCACTATCTGTCAAAATCGACTGGATAACAGTGGGGTTTGTTTTGTTTTGTTGGCCATGGGGACCATCAATCCCTGTAGGCATGAGGTTGGTCACACCTGAATTGGATACTCCCTTACCCACATATCCTGGTTTAGGAGGACCATTGGCTATTAAAGACTTCCAAGGAAGGAAGGAAGACTGGCAAAAGGAACTCACTCAGCAAAAGATAGAAGAACATCAAGGAAGAGCAATCAAAGCAGACATAGTAAGCCATTTGGAGCCCTGAATATGGTCATATGAACAAAATTAGTGGAATGCAAAACTTTCTGCCATGGACTGAATTATGTCCCCTCCAAAATATGTGTTGCATTCCTGGCCCTTGTACCTGTGGATGAGATTATGTTTGAAAATAGAGTGGCTTTGTTCATTATGTTAATGGAGATATACCTCTATAGACTGAATCCTAATCATTTCTGGGTTATAAAAAGACCAAAATCAACGCACACATTGGGGAAGACAGAGGCCATATGAGGATTATTTATAAACCAAAGAACTCCACTGAACTTGCTTGTTATAGACAAGAAAGGAATCAACTTGGCCCCAAACTATATTTGTGTTACAGCAGTACTAGGTAACTAAGACACACATGAATACACAGATCAAAGGGTCAGAAGAGAAAGTCTAGAATCAAATATATATACACATGGCAGTTTTGGTTACTTTAAAGGAAAAATCTCAGAGGAATAGGGTAAGGATGAACTATTCTCAAATTTTAACATCTCCTCTCCTGAATTATCTATCAACTTTCTTTTGTTGTCTTCCCTTGGCCTATAAAAGGCACCAAGGTCTCACCATTTAAGAAACAAAACAAAACAAAAAAAAAAACAATCATCCTTTCAACCTGTTCCACCTCTAAACAACCATTCTATCTTTCTTCTGCTTATTAATCAGGTTTACTAGAAGGAAATAGTCTTTACACAGTCTCCACTTTCTCTTACGCTTTTAAAAGAAAATATTATAAAAAAAAAAAAAAAACCTTCTGTATTGGCTTATTTTTTAATCATGAGGTAAGACAATATAGAAACTATGCATTCTAATATTTTTAAATATATATAAAGGGAGAGACTGGGACCCTCCTACATTGCTGGTGGGATTGCAAAATGGTCCAACCACTCTGGAAAACAATATGGTGCTTCCTCAGAAGGTTGGAAATGGAGATACCTTATGATCCAGCAATTCCTCTACTTGGTATTTATCCACAAGAAATATGAACCATAACACAAGTAGATATATGCACACCAGTGTTCATAGCAGCACTATTTACAATAGCAAAAAGATGGAGACAGCCTAAGTGCCCATCAGTGGAAGAATGGATAAACAAGCTTTGGTAGATGCATACAATGGAATATTATGCTACTTTGAAGAATAACAAGAAAGCTGTAAGCCACCACATAACATGGATGAACCTTATGCTGAGTAAAATCAGTCAGTCACAAAAGGAGAAATACTGCATAGGACCATTACTATAAAAGATTAAGGAAAAGTACCCACACTAAATTGGGGGAGGTGGAAATTCTTTGCTGGTTACTGGGGTATATGGGGTGGGGTGAGGAGAGGGAGGAGAAGATGGAGCACAGGGTAGGGAATAGACACAGGATAGTTTGGGTGCTGGTAGGGCAGCATACACTAGAAGGGGAAGGGGAAAGGAAGAACAAGGCAGATGGGAGAACAGTTAGGCAGGTTTACATGGGCTAAATAGGAGAGAGGTAAATAACTATGTAAGCACAATCTTGGAACAACAGGGCTCTGGGATACAAGGACTGAGGCATGGTTTGAATGGGTAAAAGTGGGGAAATAATTTTAAGATGTTTGGCTGTCTTATGACTCTTGGTTTCCCTTACCTACTATTGTTAAATATACACTTGAAGGGTAGAGCAAGGAATAGCCAGAAACATCACCATAGAAAGTTTCTAAGTCCGTCTTCTGCCTATAACTGATTGGAATACCTAAAATGGGGCTAGAACTTGTCCAGTGAAGGAGACTGCCTGTGGAGCCTTTGCATTATATAAGACCCTAGGTGGAATCCCGATCCCCATCCAGAATCTTCTGAGGTGGGAAATTTCCACTTGAAAGGACAAGCAGACCAGACTGGAGCAGCTAGAAGAACAGAAAATACTTCTTGAAAGAAAGACCAGCAGGAAAAATAAAAAACAATAAAAGCAGTCTGATTGACTACTACAAGAACCAGCAAGTTGTTCTCCAGGGAGCCATCAAGGCAAGTGGTCAGGTCCCCTCAAGGCAAACCCCCTTCCAGGACTGAAACTCAAATGGAATACACTAGCAGGCATGTGGTCTGACTGGTTACCATGTTAGCCACTGATAAGGGAAAGTGGGGGAAAAACAGCAATGAAGTTGTGAACTAAGTCCGACCACATTCAATAGACTACTGTTAATCTGGATTGAGACCTGATTAACTAGCAGTATGAGGAGACCTGGGGACTCCTGGGTCCAGGGACAGGACATGGCCACAGAGGACTGGAATGGAGTGTGAAGCGTACAGCTGATATGAAGTTCATTTATCCATTCATCCATTGATGGATGCTTAGGTTATTTCCATCTGTATGCTATTGTAAATAATGCAGTAATGAAAATGAGCATGCATGTATCTGTTAGTACCACAGCTCTTAATTCTCAAGGATATATGCCTTGTATGGGCTTGCTGGATCACATGGTATTTCTATTTCCAGCTTTTTAAGGAAGTCCATACCATTTTCCATAGTGGTTGCACCCTGTTACAGTCCCACCAGCAGTGTTTGAA